GATCTATATCCATCCACGTAAACACCATTCCATATAACAAAGTTCCTACAGATGTAGATCCTCCCAGGGCTCAAAATTACCTCTACACGAGACAAACTCCAACAAATTCATAACTAACTTTGACTTGATAACTCTTCTCCGAAGGAAGGGGGGACACGACTGGAAAATAAATGTAAAATAATGAATTCTGTTCAACATGGAGAAAGCGACGGCCAGCTTTTCATCTCAATTTGGAATCCCCAATCTCTGTCTCTCTCTGTCTCTCTCTCGCTTTCTCTTGTTCTCTATTTGGGCAACGAGATCAGGTTCATACTCACAAATAAGATGGCTCGAGATATCATGTCACTCATTTCGGGGGAAAGTTCTTCCTTGAAAGCAGGACCAGTCACTCAGTTCGTACACCTTGGTGTGTACATATGTACACCCTTAGAAAACTGGTGTTAAATCATTACTGACAGGAGTACATACATATATGACTTTCCCTGCGGTAATAAAGGGAATTACCGATTAGTAATGTTCCAAAGAAAAATTTACCCCTGAGAAGCAAACTACTACCAATCCAGTATCAAGTTATTACCAAATCAACACCAGTACCGAGTATATATCCGACTCTACCAGATTTTTAACAGTGTATGTATATTCTGTCTGAAACGAAAATGTGGCTGGATTGATGGCTAAAAATTTCTTCCACGACGTAAATAAAAACACCCAAGATCAACCTTTATTTGGACACATTTTTTACAAAATACATAACCATTTCCTCTCTTCGTTTAGTAGTCATCATCATTCACAGAGTAAATAGTGGCATAAAAATGCACTTTTTCTGATGAAGTCAGTCATTGCCTGGAGAGGAGATCCTCCCGAGATTTACGTGTCGCATCTCATTTCCTACATTTTCCTCTAAACTGTTTCTTTAACTTTCTCTTTCCCCTTCTCATTTCCGTGTCCATCTAACTAAAACTAATGGGCATGTCGGCATTGCATTTTCGCTCAGTCTCCAGACCTCCAGTGAACGCCTCCAGTTTTAAGTAAAGTGTATGTACATGTATATGCTCAAAGTGATAAACAACTTTCGTCTGTGCTGCTCTTGATGGAAGTTGAGGTTGAATCGTGTGGTGTACACAATTTAATTCCTTCTTGGTTTAGAATACCTGTAGTGAAGTGGATACGTACGTATGAAGGACGACTAACAAACTAACTGCTTAAGTAACTATCTGCATGTCTGTCTGTCTGTTGGAGCAATAATTCCTCGACAGAATGACGGAGAAAGTCTTGAAACACAAATTCGTTGGGTTCAGAGAGAAGCATAACTGATTATCAGAAGGCAGATATGCATTTATTTTCAACTTTTTCATTTGATGCCGACTGACGGTCAAACTTTGTGGGTTTGTAACCTAATTCGCATAGATCATAAAAGTTTCATAATATTTTTTGCACATTTTTACATTTTTCTAGATTTTCAAACATAAATATGTGTATTTATAAATATTCCCCCTATTATTTGAAAAATACGTAAACATTTTAGATATTTTTTTTAAATACATAGATTTCATAAATGTTTCAACGATGAAGCGAATTAAAAAATATATTCAAGTACCCAAAATCCAGAGCATTAAATATATTAAATTTTGGGAAAATTTGTATCTTTCTGTTTTTCTTTACATGTGTCGCAAATATTTTAGCGTCAGACACATTTTCATTTTGCACTACTTCACTCAAGTCTTATTACGCTTGGTTTCACCCTCGAGTTACACTCGTTCGTAACGGTTTATTATTCTTCCAACTGCTTTAAAGACGAAGACAAATAGAGAAATTTGTCAAAGAGGACAAACTAAATAATGAGTTTGAGGATGTTGAACTTTGTCGCGGTTTAGAGTTGTTTATTGCGGTAGCGAAAGTAAATAAGTACATATTATTTCCTTCCAGAAGTTTATTATGCAATCTGCTTAGCTCATTTGTTGGTTTAATTTAGCAACTGCCATCCCATTAGAATATGTACATTCTGCGCCATTTAGCAAGTACATAATACGCTTTCATTACCTGACTGAAATTCTAGTCATACGTAACAGTAAATATCTTCCTTTTGAAATCGAAAATTACTAATAATCCACAAATCAAAGCTACTTTTGCTATTAATTTTAGTCAGGCAAAAGGTCAAGATTGTTAAGATTACGTGGTATAATTTCTGCAATTAAGACAAGCCCACATGGACCAAAACCTCCCAGTACACTCTTAGAAAACTGGTATTAAATCATTACTGACCGGAGTAGACGCTACCTGCATTGGTAATAACGGGCATTACCGTTTAATAATGTCGTGCTACTGAAACATTTACCCGTCAGAAACAAACTACTACAAATCCGGTAAGAAGTTATTACCAAATCAATACCAGTACAAAGTATATTTGTGATTCTACCAGATTTTTAACAGTGTACACACACAAATGCATACATAACACTCTGAAATTAAAAAGATATGTACATATGTACATCCGAGAAAGATTTACGACTCCTGTTACACCAGCAGCACTTAATTTGTGTATCAGGTGAAGGAAAGCAATAGCCGTGGTTTTATGGCACCCCACAGTCAACCGTATTCTCCTCTCCTTTGCATCCATAAACAAATAAATGCACACACGAGTCTCCACTCGAGATCCGGACACAAAAGGGTCATCAAAAGCGATTACCGCAGTTCACTAGTAGATATTCAATAATATTGATTTTTATCGTTTCTATTATTCGCATTGAATCATAATTCGATAAGATTCGACAAGAGGTGTGTTGTGTGTTGACCATGCAGAAATACACGCGCAGAAACTAAATAACAGTTTGATAACGACTGCGGAGGAGGGTAAAATGATGGAGAGTATTGTGTAACACACAGCATGTAATTATAAAAAGTGAGGGTTACGACATATGTATTTATGCCTGCCTGCAAAATATTTGGGTAATGTTACGAGAACAATATTCCAAATTAAGCGTAATTAATATTCGTTCAAAACAAACCATACGCGGAGAACCAACCAAACATCATTTCGACCCAAATTAGCTCCAACTCACCTCAACCAAAATGACAACTTTCATGGAAATACATACATGTCACCAGAATTGACAAGGTTCACTGGAGCACCTACATACAAGGATTATTTTCAACTTAAGCTTAGTACTCAGGAAAAGTGTAGCAAAAACGATAGAAATTTAGGAAACATTTTGTAGGTAATTGATTTAAAGAAACACTCACATTTGGTAAAATTTGTAGTGAATTTCAAGAAATTTCAGAAAAAGAAGTAATTTAATAAGAAGCGAAGAACCTGTCGTTTTGCGCGAAAAAAATCCGTCCTGAGTATTAAGCGTGAGCAATAAAAGGCAATTCTGTCCAATAAAATCACTTCATTGGCTGGCTTCCTGTGCGTACAGAGACCAAGGACAAAAACCTGTTTATAAGAGAAAGTAGACAGATTCACACTCTACGTATATACTATTTAGATACCTACATAAATGACCTTTGTAGCTGTTCAACGGGCAATAAATTTCTTCCCTAATTCGTGTCAGGAGAGAAATGAAGAGAGAATCCAATTAAAACCCAGTTTAACAATGAGATGAATACACGTCTCGAGCATTTCAATTAATTTTACGAGAAAATGCGCATTTTTTTACGTGCTTACATAAAAAACATTCATCATTGCACATACATGTACAAATTGCGTACAAATTTTCCCCCCATAAATTATTCAGGGTAATGTGTAACCTGCACCGGAAGTATTATTATTATTTTGACTCAATACACTTTCCTCCTCCTTTGAATTTGGCCGATTTCTTTACACGGCAATCCCGAGTAACGGGTAGAAGAAATTCCGTTACAAAACGGGTGATTTGTGCTGGTTGAGTGCACCGTTCTACGATGACAAGAGTAAAGAAAAGGAGTAAAGAAAGTGACTGCGAGTCGGATCGTTTGGAGGGAAAGAAAGAGAAAGTATAGGTTTGACCATATGTCTTCAATTGTTGCGAGGAAATCTTCAAGTTCAATCAGGCGAAAGTCGAAAGAAAGTTTTACCCTGGGTATCATCCACACTTTTCGGAAATATATATTTCCACAAAAATAGAAAACATGGTGTCATCCAAAAACTCAAATATTTATGCTAATAAAAACGACAACTTTTTAAAATTGGAATGAATGATCCCGTGAAATCCCTCAATTCCCAAATGACCAGACCAATGGAAATTCAAGTTGACTAGAAAAAAAAACTGGAAAAGTCTCATAAGAAAAGTTGAAAGGTCATATCTTCATCATATTCTTGCACATACTTTTTGTGAATTTAGGAAGAATTTAAAGAATCAATAAGATGCTGATGATTATTATGGGGAGAAAGTCGCAACTAAGGAAAGTTTGACTCAGGGCGATTGTGGGGGTTGGGATAATGGCTCCACTTTTTTGCCCGAGTAAGGGCTTATATCTGTCTGTTTGTCGGTCCCAGACATAATATAACTTGACTTCAAATTCAAATTTTGTAGTAGTTAATAAGGTTAAAATACAAATCTACTTAGGATTAGTTCGTAAATGAGCCAAATCGGTCGAGTGATTTACCTCGTGGGTGGCTAAGGTACTCTGCATACAAATTTCAAACTAGTGTCAGAAAGCTGAAATTCGACACACTTGGGGGTGACCATTCAGAAATGGTCTTAAACATTTGAAATTCGGCACCCTGATGCTTAATGACTTCTCATTAAAGAATATGATTTATAATATTAAAGAATATGAACTTAATAGTAAGCACAATTTTGAAACTGGCTCAGTCCCTGACTCGGGATACATGAAGTTTGCACTGTAGGTTTTTGTTAGTCGGATGATTTGCAAAAGTATCCTGATTTTGAGATGATTACGGATAAGTGCGAGTCACGTATGCATGTATGACGAGGTGGAAATTTGATAAAACATACCTAAGGCGAAGTATGCATGTAAGAGACAATCATTAAAGTGTATCAAATTACTCGTTAATTTAGATGCGAACGGGAACCTGGACCCAGAAGCACCTCCAGCAAATTATGGAAGGAGACGGAGCCGAGCCGTCCTCTATCAACTTTCTGGCCATTACACGAAGGACAGGCGAAAGTCCAAGATGAAATTACAGAACGTAAGATTAAACCTTACATAATAATTTTCACCTTGTTAAAAGATGCACGAAAATAGATCATTTTTGAACGCGTGACGTACATGGTAGTCTGATCCCCTACAATGTTGATGGGTTGTTGATTATATACTTTTATCAACATTTTTAAACCGTTTTTCAAACAGTGTTTCGGGTGAAAGTAAGCACTTGCAAGAAATGACGGAGAAAGTGGTTTCTTGCAGATTTTTTGACCTGCAAGAAATGCAAGGCGCAAGAAACTACACCCCGCCGCTGTACTTAATACGGGACATCGCTAAATGACGCATGTTTCTCGCACTTTGTTGCGCCTTGCATTTCTTGCAGGTAAAAACAGGTGAAAGTAACCACTTGCTAGAAATAACGGCAAAAAGTGGGTTTTCACGGGTATTTTGATCTGCGAGAAATGCATGGCGCAAGAAACTCCGTCCCGCCGCTATTTTTCATACGGCACGTGGCTAGATGACGCATATTTCTTGCACTTTCTCCCACTTTCTTGCACCTCACATTTCTTGCTTTCCAGTGCAAAAAATGTGGCTAACCAGCATAAAACAAAACACTGACCTTGACTCTTCATCTGCCAGCACATCCGCCAGCTTTCTCTAATACCTGCATTTGGCAAAACGTGGAAGTTTTTCCTAGTTAGTTTCGTTTGTTTGCACGTGTTGTACTGTCAATCCTGTCGTGCCGTGCAATAATGTGTCCCTTGTCTACTTTTAATTCTGGGACAGAGGAAGGAGGAAAGTGTGCCCAAATGAGCGGCACAGGTGGCATGGCTCATTATGTCATTCGTTGGGAGAGTCATTATTATTAATTGCAGCGTGCACACTTCATTCTTAAGTTGGCCCTGGTGAAAAAGAGGAAGCGAAAGAGACGGTGTACAAAGTCGCAAAAAATTGTTATGTTCACAGTACTCCGGTTACACGCAGTGTAACGTAAAAGGTTGCTTTTATTCCTCGGGTTTCAAATTATCTAGAGTTTTTAAAAAATAAATATGAAATATAATCTATATAGAAATCACATTATCAAAACTTGTCAAAACCTTAATGAACGAAGTGAAGAAAGTTTTATGAAATTTTAAATTTCAGGTTTCGGATAATTAAGCAACCTATGGGTCTTTTACAATATCTAACACAATTAAAAATCATAATCGCCGTGAAAACTTGTCACAAACTTAAATGAACGAAATGGAAAACATTTGATGATATTTTCCATAAACACATTATACATTTGGAACTAACGCAGAATACCACATACGACTTATATGTACCTCAGACCACATGTTTAGTGATGTAACGAGATTTATCAGTAATACTGATTCAGCATACTTTACATTCTTGGATCGTAGAATAATGGTAAAATTGCAATTCAGATATGAATCCATGCCATGATTTGTGTTCCCGAATTCTCCACAGAGAACAGTTGACGGTCGTGATGTAAAGTTTTATAGGCGTGATCAGCATTTAAAAATGACTTCCTTCTTTCGCCGATCATTTTTTTTTCTAGTAGAAAAGTAGAAAAGAGAAAGCCACGAGGAGAATAATATTAGGATACATTCATAACCTGTGAGATTTAACGACTTTGTTGTTATTAACAAGACGCGAGATTATGATTTCCTTAAACATAGAAATTTTCCTCTACGATCGAAATTTACATCAATTTTTTTAGTCACAACAACAACAAAAATGAAATTAGAATTTATAGATTTACCTGGATTTTCTATTTTCCTGAATTATTCGGCAAATGAATAAGTTTTTGTGCGCAGATTGCTAACAAGATACCAAATTATGATTTCCTTTAAAAAATAGAGATTTTCCATTACAATCGAAATTTTGTAAAAAAAACATCCAATTTTCTAGTCACAACAACAACAAAAAATTACAATTTTGTTTGGACTTTCTATTTCTTCAATGTCATTTTTCTGGAAAATGAGTACGATTTTGTGCGCCGTCCTTCCCGTAACTTTTACTATTGTAGCCTTATCTTGTTAAACTTTACTGCCCAAACCAGGACAAACTAGTCTCAGGTGTGTAGGGATCATGCTGCCATGAAAGTAGGATAAAATCTGGACAGTGACTCGCATTCTGACATTAACAAATCCCATGCGTTTTATTGAAGGAGAAGTGAAAGTCACGACTGCTTTATTCTTCAATTCCATTAAAAATAACGTTGATTTCTCATGTTTTATTTTCCCTTCAGACCCTTTTACAACCAACGGAAGCTCCTCTGCCCGAGTATAAAACTGCAGCGATAGAAAAGTCACGCTTTATTTTGTCACATTACGGTAAGTCGCCAAATTTAGCTTGATCCCGATCTAACCTTCAGGTTTGACATTAAACTGACTGAGGGGACGTTAGTAATCCAAGCAGGAGTGTTGTCCAGGACAGGGGAACATGGACACCCAGTCCCCATGACTAGAATTGTTTGGCTAGATTATGACCAAAAAGATGATAAATGACCGACTGGACGATATGTCCCTTTTGGAACAAGAGCTAAATAGCAACCTCCCCTCGCACCCAACGGTGAAAGTGAAGTGACCAGAACATTTCACAACTAGCTACTTGTAACTACTTGACCCAAATTTCTACCCTCTTGACCACAACTTGACAAGTACCCATTGTTCTTCAATTGTGACATCGTCACCTATACCCTTAACAAACTTGATAAACAGCCCACACTCTAAATAAAGTTGTACAAAATTCACTCAAGGTTGAGTAAAAAAAGAGAGGATGACAAAACAATTGTGTAAAATCTATTCAACACTTGGATAAATTTTACACAACTTTATTTAGAGTGCAGGGCTCAATTTAATTCCTTATTACTGGACATGACTAAATAGATAGGAGTTAAACTGACTATTTCGTGACTAAAATATGACTAAAATTTCTGGGAAAACTACAATTCTAATATTTTCACCACCTATGTATGTATCTTATGACCCAGGCACATTTAAAACCTGCTGGGATTGGCTCATCCTGGTCGCCACATTCTACGTCGCAGTTCTCGTCCCGTACAACGCCGCGTTTGGTGGGAGGAATGAAACGTCGTATCCCTCCGTTCCAGATGTCGTCGTTGAAATGCTATTCATCATCGGTGAGTTTAATCCAAGATTAATATTGGCAAATCCTTGACAAAAACAGGCCCACGTATTATTGACCCAAGTCCTGTTTTAACAAGTACTAAATCATATTCCACTCCTGAAATGCCAAATAATTCGACATGTTTCAAATCCAAAGTACTTCAATGAGTGTTATTTCCATTTCAAGTGAGCAAATATGTACACCACTTGTAACTTTATCCCACCTGAAAATAATCCCAGCACGAATCTGATCAAGTATTATGAGCACAAAAGCTAACTAATCTGCGACTCTGAATCACCAGATTTCGATGCTTGCTTGCTCGGATTACGCTTTTCCCACATAATTCATCCCATCCATATGGAGTTGAGTTGAGTTGAGTGAATTAAAGTTTTGGAGGTGATCCAAGCTCGCACATGGTACGGTATCCACGCCCAAAAGGTCGCAGTTTCAAGAAATGAATAGAAACTTGGAGGAGAGCATGACATTTCATGGCTGCTTGGGCAGGCAGAAATATAACAAAGAACTCGAGTGTTCCGAATTGCAGGGTTCAATTGAATGGATTCATTATTACCAAAGTCACTTTGCAAGAAGGAAAGCTTTCATATATCAGAAAATGTGTGGTGGTCATTACCAGTTTTCAGTGTTTCGGGTGCAAGCATGTAACCACATGCAAGAAATTACGGGAAGAAAGTGGTTTCATGCAGCTAAGTATTTTGACCTGCAAGAAATGCAAGACGCAAAAAACTACGCACTGACGCTATAAATATTTCATAAGGCGAGTGACTAGATGGCGCATGTCTCTTGCAGTTTCTTGCACCTCGCATTTCTCCCATTTCTCGGTTTACAATGTTCTTACGGCTGTTTTGACCCGTAAGAAAGTATTTCTTTACTTTAAAGTTAAACATTTTGACCTGCAAGAAATGCCAGGCGCAAGAAACTCCTTCCCGCCGTTATACTTCATACGGCGCGTGACTAGATGGGCACATTTCTTGCACTTTCTCCCAGTTTTTTGCACTTTCTCCCAGTTTCTTGCACCTCACATTTCCTGTCTTTCTTCCTTTGCACCGCAAAAAATTTAGCCAACCCCCAATAAACGAAACCCTGTCTGCCATGATTCTGTTACGTATACCACAAAGCAAGAAAAATGCATCCCTCCCACAAACAAAAACTGCTCGCGACACATCGTCCTTGGAAAGTCTAGCCCTTTTATAATTACACATTTCTTTTTAACTTAATTTTATTATCGCGCGACGACGACACAGGAAGCTATTAAATTTCCATTTTCCAATTTAAATTTCCAAATCGTGTTTTCTTTGCCAACCTTCTAGAACCACGACACACAATGGACGCCCTGTTGCACGATGTTTGTTTTACTTTTGTTTGTACATTCACCTTCTGTCGGATGGGGTAGATTTTAACATGCAGAGTATCTCGTCCCAAGCTGTCATTCTTTCAAAATCTTTGGGGAAATTAGTTTTTGGTCGAGAACGACGACTTTCACCATCATCATTACCGTGAAGTCATTCCGCAAAGTTAACTCGGCTCTAAAATTGTTGTATTGTTAGCATGTCAGCGAGATAATAATGGCAGAGCGGAGTTTGTAATGCTATCTTCGTGACCAGTCCAATTGTCAGCGAATCTGTTGACAGAAAGAGGAGGAGTATGTATGTACCACTTCAGCGAGTCTTCATTATTTGCACTGCGTCGTTGTTGGATTGTGTAACACTGGATATTTCGCTGGGCAGGAGACTCATCAAGCTCCAGGAGTAAAGTGCTTGTCCATGTTGGTGGTGGTCGCCAATATAAAAGAAACTTGTCAATTCATCTTCATGCAATTAAACAAAGTGTAACGGACCCGAAGGCTTTTTGTTTTTGCTAAATGAAGAAGCGAGCAAATAAACGGGAGCTGAGTGTATGTGTGATATGTATGCATGCTAGCTAATAAATAATGGTGATAACGAACGAATGTATGTACAACAACCATAAAATCTGGGCTCTGATTTCGTAACACATATATAATTGTACCAGCTTCATATTGATCAGCAGCAGTGGCCGCGGAAGCTGTGGGGACGTTAACATTGTATGATAGGGGAGGGAGGGGTTTGTATAACATGGGGAGATGATGGGGACATCGAATAACCGTGGGGACATTTTCCCTGTGTCCCACCCTTCCGCGGCCACTGTTTCTCAGAAGGAACGATGAGACGACGGACTGATGGGCAATCGACACGGTGGTTGGTGAAACTCGCAGCATGAGAACTGGATGGATGGACCGTGTTGTTTGCTTGGTTCCATTCCATGATAAAAGATTAGGTTGGGAAATACGACGACGTCGACGGTTGGAATCCACAAATGACAAAGGAATCGCATTAAGTTCCTTATTGGGTAAACAAACACGTGGAGGAATTGTGACCAGGCCGACGATGTGTAGAAGAATAACACTATGTCGCCCTCGCTCGTCCTCCTCCTCCCCTGGGTGCCAGGAAAGGTTATTGGTTTCGTTTGTTGCTGCGTGGTCGTAAAATACGCTCGCCCTCATTTCTAAATATGGCGAAATTCGGAAAAGTGCGTGGGGTATAAATTTATTCCTAATTTTGCTAATTTGATTTGACACACAGATATCATTTTCCATTTCCGGACGACATTTGTAAACGTGAAGGGCGAAGTGGTCTCAAATCCGAAAGTTATCGCGATGAATTATGTGAGAGGGTGGTTCCTTCTCGATCTCTTGGCTGCGCTACCGTTCGACTTGTTATTTGCGGCGAATATTGTCAAGGATGTGACGGGGGTGAGTTAATAAAAGGAAATACAGTGTACTTGAGGGTTAAGGTTGCCTTGTATGCGGAGATTTGAATTTGAATTTTGCGTCTCAACTTTCCCTTCTTGCATGTATTCAAATAACGATTTTGAAAAATTATTCATCTCCATGAGTTTTTTATAAGATCGAAATTTTATTGCTTCATTTTTAGGTTCATAAATATGGAGCTTAGAATTTTGATTTGATAAAATAGAAATAAAGTAAATGTTAAAAATTACGCATTTTTTAGAAACAATAGAATTTCAATCTTGTAAAAAACGCACGTAATGATCAGGTTTCAAAAGCGTCATTTGAATAAATGGAAGAGAAAGTTAAAACCCAAAAATTCAAATTCAAAACCCGCATAAAAGAGAACCTTAATGTCATCTGATGAAATGAAAATATAAATTAATTTGCATATCCAATTATTTTGAAGGAGTCGCAAATGCATTTATTAAAACTGACCCGGTTGATCCGTTTGGCTCGACTGCTGCAAAAAATGGACCGCTACTCTCAATTCTCTGCCGCAATTTTGACCCTGTTAATGCTCTCGTTTACGCTGGCTGCTCACTGGCTGGCCTGCATTTGGTACGTCATTGCCGATCAGGAGATCGACTCGCATGGCGCGGAATGGACAATAGGTGAGAAAACGATGACCACAAAAGTCTAAATTAAATCGTGACCACTAATTATTCCTATTGACAGGCTGGATGCACACTTTGGCGGAAAAGTTGGAGATGAACGTCACACAAATCTCGAATGCAGACAAGGTATGTGTGCCTTTACTGTTCGGTGAAAGCAGGGTTTCGGGTGAAAGCTACCACGTGCAAGAAATAAGGGGAAGAAAGTGGTTTCTTGCAGGGAAATATTTTGATGTGCAGGAAATGCCAAGTGCAAGAAACTACTTCCCGCCACTACCTGGCGTTGCTATATAATTGGCGCATATTTCTTGCACTTTCTTGCAGTTTCTTGCACCACGCATTTCTATTCAGGTGCAAGAAACCACGTGCTAGAAATAACGGCTAGAAAGTGGTTTCTTCTAGGTATTTTGACCTGCAAGAAATTCAAGGTGCACGAAACGACGCTCCGCGCTATACTTCATATGGTGCATGGCTGGATGGCGCAGATTTCTTGCACTTTCTCCCAGTTTCTTGCACCTCGCATTTCTCCCATTTCTCGCTTTACAGTGCAAGAAATTTAGCAAACCCGAATGAAACGAAACCATGTCTCACTGACACTGGACACATAGTTCTGTAACATATTGAATTGTCTTTTCCAGTATGTGACCGCACTGTACTTCACCTGCTCCAGCTTGACAAGCGTCGGCTTTGGAAACGTCGCGGCCAACACGCTGCCCGAGAAAACTTTCTCCATCCTCGTCATGCTTATTGGAGGTATGTGAGGAGAAAGTTGGAAATTTTTGGAGAGACCAGAAATTTTATTTTCCATGAATTTGCATGAGAAATAAGCATACGAGGCAGAAGTGATTTATTCCGAGAGGGATGATTTTTTTCAGCCTTGATGCACGCGATGGTGTTTGGAAACGTGACGGCGATCGTGCAGCGAATGTACGCCCGAAGATCGCAGTATCAGAGCAAGTGGCGAAATCTCAAGGATTTCTTTACCCTTCATCAAATTCCGTCAGAACTAAAACAGCGTGTGGAGGATTACTTTCAAACCATGTGGGCACTCAACCATGGCATTGATCCACATGAGGTGAGTTCAACTTTCACTTTTATGTAGTGAGAGGCTAAATTTGCATACAATAAAAAACATGCTTTTATATGCCAGTACCTGAATCTGCTTACAATACAAGGGAGGTCTATCAAAGTATGCTCGCCAATTTTGGTCAAACTAGTGTCAATCGATCACAAATTGAATTAGTATGAAATTTGCAAAAGATACGATCTCCCAATGTGCAGATTTGGCAGAGATATTTGCATCCGGAAAGGAGAAATCGTGTCCTAAAGTTGACATATTTTATACTTTCCAAATTTACTACGCGTTTTCTCCTCTTTGGATGCAAATATTTCTGCCAAATTTGCGCATTTAGAGATCGTGTCTTTTGTAAATTTCATTCTAATTAAATTTGTGACCGATTGACACTAGTTTACTCTAGTTTAGATCTGCGAGCATACGCTGATAGACCTCCATTCTTAGTTTGCATGGCGTCCATATAACAAAAAAGTACTTGTTGTCTGGTTTTCCCTCCTCTCGATTTTTTATTACTACTTCCAAACCATGATTTCCATCTGAACTTTGCCATTTACAACGATTTAATGCATATTTAATACATATCTCAAAAATGGAATTAGAAAAAAAAACTTCATTTTCCTTCAACTAGGAATTTTTCCAATATCCGGTTGATCCGGATCCGGATCTGAGTAGAATAGATAGATAAATAGTGGATGGATGTGGGTCGCCCGGCTTTTGTTGGGATTCAAGATCACATCACAAGATATCGCATAGTTGAACAGCGTGAGACCGGGTCATTTCCGGTCGTCTTTCACGCAATTTTTTTTGTCTATGTATGTACGAGAATATGGTCCTAAATTATGCCACCATTTATTTTATATTCCAGACGCTGAAAGAATTTCCCGAAGAATTGCGAGGTGACGTGAGTATGCATTTGCACAAGGAAATTTTATCCCTGCCAATTTTCGAGCCTGCCCCACACGGTTGTTTGAAACTGCTCTCGCTCCACATCCGCACCAACTTTTGCGCTCCCGGAGAGTATTTGACACACAAAGGAGATGCTCTTCATTATATTTATTATTTGTCGAATGGATCCATGGAGGTGGTTCAGGGCGCGATGGTTGTCGCCATTCTTGGTAAGTATGTACTGACGAATGTATGTTTGCGGTGCGTATACCTGTCGAACCTTTCAAGATAAATAGCCAAGAGAGCTCTAAAATTTAAATACGACTCCCGAAGTCCCGAGTAAAATTTGGATAGCTTTCCTCCCGAAATTTGGGCCAATTTTCGGCAGAAAAGCTTTTTGCAGGACGATTTGTACAGAAAACATAGAATTATCCAGAATAAACCCCACTATCTGCAATTCTTCCGGTTGAAATTTTTGATTATTTTTTGCACAAATTTGGAACGAATTTCTTCACAAATTTGGCCAGATTTTCTGCAGAAAAAAAAACCTTATAGAAACCAATTTGTGCAGAAAATTGTGCAGAATTATGCACATACGGTTCTGCAGGATAAACCCGACATTAAGCATCTGCGGAATTATTTTTTTTTTAATTTTGCATAATATGCATTTGTCGATTAGTCAGAATTTGATACAATGATTTCTATTCGGGCTGGAAAATAAAAGTGAATGAATGATTTGCATCGGTTTTTGTGTGCGTGTAGGAAAAGGAGATCTGGTCGGGAGCGACATATCACAACAAATTACGGCCGTGTGCGACCAAATCATCAAGTCGAGCTGTGATGTTCGAGCACTGACGTACTGCGACTTGAAGAGTATTTACATCCCCGGCCTTATCGAAGTTCTAAGAATGTATCCAGAGTTCCAGACCGAGTTCTCGCACGATATTCAGCACGATTTGACCTACAACTTGAGAGAAGGGTGAGTAATGTGTGCTCAAATACCGTGTCACACTGGCACTAGATACTGCACTTAACCAGTAGGACTCGATGAATCATTGTCAAAATCAGCACATTTTTAAGAATTTCTCGTGTCCAGGAATTTATTTTAAAATTCTGGACACCAATTTCTTTCGTTAGCAATTAAAAAAATATACACTCCAAATTTTGACACTTTTTGAAGGAGGAGATCTCAAGTTTAAGAGGCCTTCAGATCAGAACTGGCTTAAAAGCACTTCCATGCAATTAATCGAATTACTAGGTTGCCCATAATTTTAGAATAAATTCCCATTCTTAAAAAGGATTGTTAAATGTGCCGATTTTTACGATTTTGATAATGAGTCCAACGTTAAACTAGTTCTGTAAGATTTAATTTTCTCAATTTTCCAGCTACGAGGCGGACGCGGATACAGACATGAATTTTTCCGAAAATGGTCACGGCATACCTTCTACGACACTGCCTTCTATCGGCGAAGACGAAGAGGACGAGGAGGACGAGGATGCACGCAGATTAATCAATGCCAGGTTTGAAATATATTTCATACATACAACTTCAAAGCTTTCCTTTTAAAACCGCAGGTCGGATGACAGTCGCTCCTTCAGTTCAAAGTCACCCTTGTTATCACGCGAGAACGGTGCGAGTAAGCGATCCCTTTCAGAATGCGGATCGCCCAACGTGTCCACGACCGATGTCCATTCCGAATTGATCAGTTTAGCGCAAGAAATGCGATCATTGGTTAAAAATCTGGAGAAAACTACAAAATCTCAGAAGACACAAACTGAACCGAAGTCAATTTCATGGGTGTCGAGCCCTTCTCTTATTTAAGTATGGAATAAGTAATGCGTGATCCAATTAATATTTGTGTACCTGATTGGCCGATGTATTCTGCGTGTCGTTGTCGTGTCATGGAACTCATTATCATTACTCACCGCCAGTCAAGATATTCTAATGTTATTAACAAGTACTGTACATATGATATGAAATTATTGTTAATACCGCTAAGTTATGCATATTTAAAGATTGAATCAAATTTCTCTAATGATTCTAAATAATTTTATTGGAGGATTCGTATCACTTAATAAATTTCTCCATTTTTACTTTCACCCATTGTTCTGAGTGATTTCTTTTGTGATCATTATTGTACAATTTATAATATACGACGATATATAATATGTCGGCCAGATTAGATGTATAGTAATTTTTAAAGAAAGATGTTACAAAATGAGGTTTAATAGAATGTAGTGGCTTGATAAATGCGATTAAAGTTGATTTATTGTGTAAAATATGTGTATATTTAAAGAAATCTGTACTCATCAATTAATATGAGTGCATACATAATTGTGCAGTCTTGGTTGAAATCACACGACTGCAGGAATCTTTTCATAATTTAAAATCAAAATATAAACCAACCAAAAAAATGTTTCTTTCATGACCACAACAAATATGTAAACTTTGCTAAAGATAAAATTCTTACACAAATCGAGAGAAATTTTATATAAATTTAAGAAAACATGTTAGAAGAACCCTAGTTTAGTCATAAAGTTATGTATCTGATCTCATCTGCCTTTACATAATTAATATGTACATATTTATGACCTACAATTTCTGGATGATGTACATAAAACTCCAAACGTTTAATTTTTTACGGCGTAACAAACTACAATATATTTACCCACGGGAAACAAAGTTATATATGTAGAAGTGAGTATTTTAAATTATGTATTTTCCTGGAAAACTGGCTTTCCTTATGTGTAAAATATGCATCCATCCGGATGTGATTATTGTACATAATTGTGTATTTAATTAATGGATGTCATATATTTACCTGTAGACGAATTGTTTTAGAAAAAGAAAATGTTAAATCAAGTAAATTTAGTGCACCCATTAATTAAGAAGGAACAAACCATTCTCCAGACGGACATAATGCATATTTATCTGTAATAAATATTTACCACAATTTTGTTTATAAATCAATTAGTGTATAAATATATATCTGATCAAATTAAAATACTTTTGACGCAATGGTTATGAAAATACGTATGTATAATATGCAAAACAGAAAAATACTGTAATAAATAAAATTGTATAGTAAATAATACTAAACCTAAATAACTTTCTGCTTATTTCATGCTTTAATCATCCGACATCCGAAACGTTAACACGAAAACGAAACCCCTCCCACCACAGCATTAACCCAACTTGATGCCAAACACGGTCAAAAGCTGACTTAGGTGAGTTTTTGGCAAGGTTATCCCTCAATTTGGGATTTTTCTCACTTCAAACTTGGCCCCACTATCCTACGCCACAAGAATTACATAATTCTTCTCAATTTCCAAAAATAGCAATCATCTGTAATTTAAAAAAATCTTTACGAAAAATTTTCCATCCTTTTCTACACATGCCTTGAAAATTAATCATGAATAGATGGAAGTCGAATAAATTGCCAAGTAGGGTAAAAATTATCTTCGTTTCCACTAATCCTAAGGGCACGATGACGTATCTACTTTAAATAAATATTTATTTATTTTCATAAACTTTGTATTTCGGCGTCGTCACTATTCATTTCACAAAATTATAACCATTTTTTCTCAATTTTCCTCAACTTTCTCCACCATGCGTGTTCCTTTTTGTGCCGCTTTCTCCACCTTTCTCTCACCCCTGAAAACTACTCTGAAGCCCACAAAGTTCTCGGATTAGCCACAAAACGTCGCTGGAAACCTGCCGAGTTCCGTGTGACTAGCAGAAGTGAAAGCATACCTACCCAAATGAGATCACTTTCTCCCATTTGTGTCTGTGTTACACGGAGGAAACCCGGGTTTATAGTGCTCGTCCTTTCTCGTAAAGTTCCTCGAGTCCCGTTTTCAATGGTAAAAAGGAACACTTTTTGAGCTTTGAATTCAGTGTGGTCCGGATTCTCTGGTTCCGATCTTCTTCTTTCCACTATTTCACTCTCATCAGCAACCGTCGCGACCGTCTCATCGTGCACCTCTGAGCGTCGTTTTCTCCATGCATACTAAATATCACCTTCTACTATTAGAAGAAGAGGCTTTCGCCACGTGCAGGCCATGAGGATATCAACTTTCTGATAAGGTCTTAACACAAAAATCAACCCGACATTGTTACGATAATCGAAAAAATACTTGTTTACCGTGATACTGACATCAACATTGTTGTTCTGCTCGAAGTTTTCGAACTTTGAAGAGTGCACTTCAATTTTTACATGTTACACACGTGCAAATAATTACAGTTTGCATGATTGGATTGATTAGAACATTGATCGTTATTCAAGTTAATCGTGAATTAAATATTAATAATTATCACCACCTTTTAGTAAGACCCATCGTTTTGCAGTTAGTGAATTAACCTCACAAATTACAACATTATTACGCAAGAGAATTGAGAATATTTCATTTTTTACCTACGTGAACTGCCGCAAAGTTGGAGCAAACATATTCCAGACAAAGTGAGACAACTGGGCGAAACTCTCCCGAGAAAAGGAACTCGAACACACAATATTCGTTTCGTTACTGCATCTGACCTCCTGGTCTCGTGGGAAAGGTAAGAAATTACATTTTAAAACCATAAATTTATTACCAAACTTATTCCATAGCACACTTTATTTATTTCAAAATAGATTAAAATCACGTGAACGTTTTACGATGGCGAATATGTTACAATAATTGCTCGCAAAATAAAATAAATTAAGATTGCATAACTCGATTCGTTCAGTCTTAAATTGAAAAGCTAAATCATCTCGCGATGCATAATGTATGTAACTTATTCCATTTAACTTTAATGGGTAAAGTGACGATATAAATCTCAGCAGGCCCGACGGCTATAAAAGATACCTATAAACAAGACAAGGATCAGACAAGATAAATAGCAGAAATAAGATTAATGGTGAAAGTCAAGAGTGTCCCGTTACACACTAAACTTCACTTGCTCCCTCCGTTCCCACATGATAATCAACATAATAAAAATGGACGATTTGTTAGAGAATTTTTACAAAATGGTTTCCTAAGTAGTTTTGCATAACGCAGTTCTGTGGGGAAAAATAGAAGTGAGTGAAATAAAACGTAGTTGAATTTTACTGGGATGTGAATTTCCTAAGAATTTACCACACATTTTGCCCAAATAATACAATGTGCGTCATTGATTTGGAGAAAGTTCATGAATTGACAGATATGTAAATGAATCAAAGTAACTTTTCGGAAATAGTTGTGTGAGAATGACGCGGCGTCAATGTTGCTTTCCACAGATCGTTAAAATCTACAACTTTTCAACTGTTTGAAACAATGGAAAGTTTCTGTTGAAAAACATCTCATTAAAACTTGGTGGAGTTTTAGATTTGCACGATTGAGTAATTCGAGCTGAACCGAGGGCACTGTTAAAAATCTGGGAGAGTCGGATATATACTCGGGACTGGTATTGATTTGGTAATAACTTCATACCGGATTGGTAGTAGTTTGTTTGTGAGTGGTACATTTTTCGACATTACTAAACGGTAATGTTCGCATTCCCGGTACTGGTAGAGTCATATCATTATATGTACTCCGGTCAGTAATGATTTAATACCAACGTTCTAAACGTTTATATACTCCACACTGGTATTGATTTGGTAAGAAATTCCTACCAGATTGGTAGTACTTTGTTTCTGACTGGTAAATTTTTCATTACCACAACATTATCTGTACTCCGGTCAGTAATGATTTAATACCACTTTTTTAAGAGTGTACTGCCTGCATATATTACTTCCAAACGATCCTCGCGAAGTGAGCTGCCTCGCCAAAAGGACGGGCTGCAATAATACCGTTATGATGACGCTGTGGACAAGCAGTGTTCAATAATTCGGGCTGTTTAAGAGCCAAGAAAAATGAAGAATGAGCTGATTTCATTGGGGAAAGTGAGCAGTTTACAGAGTTGATTTGATGCTCATAGCCACTGGCGATGTATTCTGCGAGCAGGGGAAAGATGATGCCTTGCCAGCCTTGCTCTCTACTTTCACATGCATGCATTCAGTAGTAAAACTACCTCTGGGAATTTACTTTCCCTCTTTTACCATCTTCTTCTACGTAGCCTTGCTTTTTTACGTTATTATTGATGTTAAAATAACATTTGATGCTTTTTCAGGGATTTTTTTATAAATAATTTTGCTCCCGTTTTGGACTTTGGTTTAGTTTTTCGATTTCGGTCAAAATATTGAAGAGGAGAGAAAGCCTTGTTGTTCTACAACGGAGAAACTTTTGTCTGGTGAAAGCACTGCGTTCTCTCTCGTATATAGCAGCACATTTATTTTTCGCACTGATTAGTTACTTACTTATATGCCCCATGGTAAATCGACCTTGGTATCGATCCATTGACGACCTCATGCACTTGGGATTAGCACAACTTCAATGATTGGAAATCACCAAATCGTATCTTTATTTCCAGCGGATAAACAATTTGTGAGAAGAATATACAATTCGTATAGTCTTGCGTAGTTTATCGTTACACAATTTCGAGACAAATTGTATTTTTTAGCTTAACCTCTTTCATACTACTTGTCTTTCAAATAAAATTTCTTTCGTTACAATGTTAAAGTGATTTCATAATTAGCAGCCTCTTAAAATTTTCATGATTTCCTGTAACAGACAAATATTAATTTTAACCAGTTTCCAATTTTTGAGTTTTTTGTAACGAGAAACACGAAGAATCCGCTTTTTAACATGGGTGGATATAGGAAAAATTCCAAAATTTTAAAAGAAAAATATCAACAAAATCAACTTTTCACAATCGAGTTTTTCACAAAATCCCAAAGAAGTACTCTTATTTTAGAGAAATTTTAAGGTAATTTATGCAGAACACATATTTGTATATTTCGTCGTTCTTAAGAGGTTAAGTAAAAATTGGTGAAAAATAGCATTTTTTTCATGAATTATGATTTGATGATTTTCTATTCAACTAGAAGTATTTGCATGCGGAAGGAGAAAGTAAACAGAAAAAAGTTGGCAATTCTCAAGCAAGATTCGTCGGGTGAACATGGATTAATTGTGCAAGGGTAAAAAGTAAATTGGTTGGAGGGAGCATGAATCAGTGCTTAATGAGGATATAATTTCATCACGAAACTTTATCCGCCTCTGGCACAAGCCAAGAAATTATTGCTGCCGTCATTTCGCTGAATATGCATAGACATGGAGAAAAATGCTTTATCGAGATTTAATTACCATTCCTGACTTTTCTTACGCGTTTTGTCCCATCCTCCTTTCCTTCCTTACTTTTTCCATGGGATACGTATTTCTCCTCGTATTTTTCACTATGAAATTGTATACCCGATAAAACTGCTATTTTTTCCTTATCATCACTAACTAACTAGTTTGGAAGCACGAGTTTTTTTGTAGTGAATTGTTGAAAAACTTGTATTATTTTTTATCTACATAAAAGTTTCCAAGATGTGAAAGGAATACGCACGTCATTCAATATTCTGTATGTTTACTACTGACTGATTAGACTTGTGTGATCGTCACTGGGTATCAGTGGCCGCGGAAGCCGTGGGGACATGAACATTGCAGGATAGGGGATGGACGGTCTCATCTAACATGGGCAGATGTTGGGGACATAGAATAACCTTGGGGACATTGTCCCTCTGTCCCCTCACTTTCGCGGCCACTGCTCAGCACAAGTTTTTATTGTAGTTAAAAAAATCTTGGTACTATTTTCTACAATAAAAGCAAGATATCAACTGAATACGCACGACATTCAAGATTTGACTAGCGCTGATTATCTAGACGTGATTTCCACTAAATAACAACAACAGAAATAAGAACTATTCTGAGAAGGAGAAAGTCTGAAAAGTGTGGAGAGAGCTGTTGCCAATTTAATTGAAAACTTCCTGCCACTTGGAAACGCGTAGGAAACATCTTTGGGTTCCTGGAATTGATGAAAATATGGGAAATTAATCGTGAAAGCGAAATATCAGAACTTCCTCCTCGCATCGCATCCGCTCTCTCCAATTTATATATTCATTCACGTCGAATGTAGCAGGAGCAGAAGTGAGAGGAACGAACTTGCACAGATGTGTTCACAATTTATTCCGCTTTCACTTCCCCTGTTTGGTTGGTGGAGCAGTATTGGATACTAGTGCGTAAAGGTGGAAGTAAAGTGTGAGTGAGTGAGTGAGAGAGTGAGGTGGATTGAATAATTGAATCTAGACCTTCTGATCCAGCGTGTTGTTTGCATCACATTCTGTTTGACAAAGCTCACGTCAAAAAAAAAAAACTCAAAGTTTTCAAATTTTATGTTAAATTTGGTTTCCGTAAAGTAAAGTAAATTTAAATATTGGAATTTTATAAGAATTCAATTCTTTTATTTTATAAAATTTGCCTTTAAGAATTACATCGTTTCAGTTGGATATTGTAAATAAGTTGCGTAAACTACAAATGTTTGCAAAAATTGCATAAGTACAAACCTATTGTAGAATTACTCGCAGGTAGCGATAGCGTCTTATTACTTGGCTTTGTACAAGGCTTACTGTGTATAAATAGAATGCATTGGGGGTATTCACTACGAGTTCACATCGCTTAACAATGTTATAAAAAAAGTTGGCAAGTTCGCAAAAAAATTCGTTTGTGAACTTTCGCATCTTCAAGGCATTATAAAAATATCTATATTGCTAACTCTCATGAATACCGCCATTGTCTAATTGAAACTTTGTAAAATACTTATTTACTAAATAGAAACAGAGTAGACGAAAAACTTCATATTTTGCATTACTACCATAATCCAGTTGAAATTAGATGTTGCGTAAATGGCAAATTGGTCGCATACGAAACAACTATCTATGTAACACAATCTGCCATATTATTACCATACTTTATACCATACGTATTAGCTATCTATCGAACTTACGCAATCTGTTTACCGATCAGATTTGTTTGCAAACTGTGTACGTAAGTATCTAAGTGAATAATTCATTATGGGGAAAAGCTGCTAATTCAGTTGTTCCCCGTGACCAGGAAAGTTGCTCTCATTTTTCAAAATTTCCTCGTATGCATATGTCCATACATCACTGATTTATTTTCAAATTAGGAACATCAAGCCACGTTACGTACCTGCAAATCCTCTTTGTGCTATTTGAAAGTGTAATTATGTGCGTATGTCCGACTCACCGGGGTTTGCTTTCACCCTCCTCCTCGTGGGAATGTGTGAGAGAGGAGAGAGAATTAAGATTGCGAATTAAGTGGGGAGGAGAGCCAGGCAATAGATTTATGATCGGTGTAGGGAACAAAGAATATTCTGCGCTCGGGTCATCAATCATTCAACGATACGATTCCCTCAAGAAGGAATTACGAAAGAAGAGGAGGAAGAGAGGATTTGAATAATTTTGATATTCAAATCAGACCAATACTTACGAGCTGCAGATTTCCAGCAGGACGGGGACGACGGCACTGTTAAAAATCTGGTAGAGTCAGATATGCACTCGGTACTGGTATTGATCTGGTAGTAACTTGTTACCGGATTGGTAGTAGTTTGTTTCTGAGGGGGAAATTTTTCATTACTAAAAGGTAATGCCCGTTATTACCAGTACCGGTAGTCTTATATGTACTCCGGTTAGTCATGATTTAATACCAGTTTTCTAAAAATGTACATACTCTGTACTTGTATTGATTTGGTAATAAATTCCTACCGGACTGGTAGAAATTTATTTCTGAGTGATAAATTTTTCATTACTAAACGGCGATGCCCCTTATTACCCTGCCGGTAGCGTCATGTACATATGTCCCCCGGTCAGTAATGATTTACTACCACTTTTCTAAGAGTGTATCAGATCGATACCACCATTTTCTCTTCAATAACTCTTTTTCATCCCGTTTGAAATTGGTCGGGTTCCATCCAGCATGAAATTCCGTGAAATTTGTTAAATCCAATTGAAACTTTATTGTTGTCCAACAGGTACGAGGAGGGTCGAGATAAATTGAAAGTTTGAAAATTAACACGTTCATTCTCGACCTCGCTCCTGTATAAATACGGAGTAACCTCGAACGAAAGCAGTAATGTGTTCATTACATTTGAATAAAGCGATCTATTTATTGCCCTGCCGAGTATTTGGAATCTTAAAGTGAGCAATTTTCACGCTTTATCTCGCTTCGTGGCTTTCCCTTTAATGTCGTAGGTTTGCTTACGTGTGCGGAAATAAAACTTGAGAGGATCCAATCTTCCCCTTTTCCACGTTTAGCCACATTGGCAGTAAATAGGGGACCACGTTAAATCTGAGGGAAGTAACAGCATCAAAGTAAAGAAGTTCAATAGCTAGGATAATTTTCATGATTATCAAATATAACGATTCCTTAATTATAATTAGCTTTACTTCAAAAATATGCAAGATGCAGATAATTATTTATTGGGGGTATTTATTATGAGTTAGCATGTTTGTATCGAAGCATAATTTTGAAAGCAAAATTTGCGAAGCAAATACTAGCCCCGGTGATGCACAAAATTCGCGAATGAATTTTCAAGCCAAAATTTTTGCGAAGTTGCGAACTTTGTTTTTTTTGATGACGCTTTGATGTTTGTGATGTTTTTGATAACGCTTTGATGATGCCAACGATTCGTAATGAGTACCCCCATTGTTCACAAATATCGTATAAAAGTTGAAATATGAAAAAATTAGGCAGGGAAAAAATATCGAAATATTAAATGTACCATTAAAATTGTGACTCCAGTTTTGAAAATTATTGTAATATTGGCAGGCTATCTAACAAATTGCTAAAAACTAATAAATTTCCTATGAAAATCTTTTAACGGGGTTTAACTCTAACATTATTTTTAAAATGTTCTCCATATAGAAAAGGTCCGAAATGTGGATAAGCTCAGTAACACACAGAAGAAAATGTTCTTTTAGCCGACGACGACGATAGTTTAGTTTCGCCAGTGAAAGCGAAATTGTCGACTTTCTCCTGAATGAAATGGCCATTTCGTGTAGGCCGCGCAGTGAGGCGGGAGTATAACGCAGCGGAAGGAATGTGTTACGTTACGTTCGATTCGCAAGTAACACACACAAGTCGTGGGGCAAGTAGTAGGAAAAACATTAATTATTGAGTCCCATCCAAGCCCAGATTTCAGGGCATTTGCCGACTTGTTAAATATTTCAACGTCACATTTTAAATCGTTCCCTGTACCCAGAACTAATTCAATTTACCCGCTTTTTGTTATCGCTTCAATGAATTTTTAAGCCTTCTTTAAAAGACGTGTAGCATTTCTCCTCCTTTTGCTAAAAGTTGAGGGCAAGCAAGACTATAACAAAACGAGATGATCTTTGTGGGCTGCACTAACTACTCTGTTTGTGTGTCTCGCTGCCAAATTGCGTTTTACGTCAGCGGCGGACGTTAAACTGCAGGGTTTCGTTCGGGGGCAAGTAACCACGTGCAAAAAATAACGGCAAGAAATAAATGATTTCTTGCAGGTAGTTGAGGTAGTTTGAGATGCCAGAAATGCCAGGAGCTAGAAATTACGCCACACCGATATAAATAAATACTTCAAAAGGCTAGATTGCGAATATTTTTTTTGCACTTTCATGCAGTTTTTTGCACCTTGCATTTCTTTTCTGGTGCAAATAACCATGTGCAAGAAATAACTGCAACAAACTGGGTTTTTGCAGCTATTTTGACGTTCAAGAATTCCAGGGCGTAAGAAACTACGCCCCGCTGCTACATTTAGTACAGCGCGTGGCTAGATGGCGCCCATTTCTTGCACTTTCTCCCAGTTTCTTGCACCCTCCATTTCTTATATTTTTTGCTCTGCAATAAATATAGCAATCCCCCCTAAAACGAAACACTGCCCGTCCATATAAACTCCTCCATCCAAAGTCAGCGTGTTTCTGTTTCATCGCAGTAAAAAGCGTTTGTTGAAAGAAATAAATATCTCCATTAAAACTCGGCACAACGACGTGTTTCAAAGTAGTTATAAGCACTATAGAGCTATAATTTTTACGAACGTGTAATGGGATTTGTGGGTGGGTTGGACCAACCTTTCTCTTTTATTTATGAGCAAAAGTCAGTTACTTAACTAACGGGCATGGTATTTTAACCAGAAACCCCCATTTACCCCCAGTTTTTTCCTCTCCGTGTAAGTAAGTAAATTTTGTAAAAAAAATCCGTCCCAGAATCGCAATTGTTGGGACACGTTGACGAAACAATGTTCTTGTTTTGGAGGATAATCGGATGGGGGGAAAGAGAGTTTTACTTTACTTTATTTTATTTGCATCCAATGTGAGTGAGCGAGGGAATGAATGGCGGAACATTATCCCCCAAAGGAAAAAGGGTCATTCGTTTGCGAGAATATACGTGAATTTATTGCAGGATGAAAACGAATGGAAGAAATATGGTCATGACAGAATGATAGCTGTACTTTGGTGCACAATAAAACGAATCCGCTCTGAATCGAACGGATGCGGAGGGACTAACTATTTATTGTTATGCTTTTCCCTTTAAACACTTGCTCCAAAGGGTAAGTGGCGGCGTAAGGCGAGTAAAACCCTCGTCCTCGAGTAGATCAAGCACCATCAAAAACCAAATTCTAGAAGAGGGATTACGTATTATTTAGTATGCATAAAAAACATCCGGCTTGGCAATAACTAAGGTTGTTTCAATCAGTGTTTCGGTTATGGTGGGTTTGTTACATTTTTTGCACTGTAAAGAAAAAAAATACAAGAAATGTAAGACGTATTAAACTGCAAGAAAGTGCAAGAAAGTGTAAGAAAGTGTAAGAAAGTACAAAAAACTGCAATAAAGTATTAAAAAAAACTGCTAGAAAGTGCAAAAAACTGCAAGAAACTGCAAGAAATATTCGCCATTTAACCACACGCCCTATGAAGCATAACAGCGGGCCATAATTTCTTGTGTCTTGCATTTCTTGCATGTCAAAATACCTACAAAAAGACCACTTTCTCCCCCTTATTTCTTGCACCTGCTCGAAACACTGATTTCAATCATAATTATTTCATTTATCTACGTAGTTAGCTTAAGGATGCCGTGGTTTTTGTGGTTGAATTAAATCGATGTTTTGTCATCATCTATTAGTGACAGGATTTTTATGGGAAATACTAACCGAACCTGCATCGAATGAAAGTGGAGGAAAAAGCATGCTTCACTTTAAAAAACGTTTCTCTCTCTCTCTTCCTCCTCTCCGTGTTTTATATTCTTGTACTTTCAGCACATTTGTATGTTGCTCATGATTCAGCTAGATTCCTTCTTCATCTTTTTCCCCTCTCGCGAGTACAGTTACTGCTGCCCAACACCAAATTCAACTCGGCTTAACTTTAACTTTATGTGGGCTAAGATCCCACGTCACAAAGAGTGTGAGAACGAAAAAAAGAGAGAAAAAAACAGAAATCGATCAGAAAATGGAGCATTTTGTAAAAAAAAACTCCCAAAAAAATCTTTAATAGCGAAATAACATTTTTATGAAAAGAAAGAACAAGGACATTTACGAAAGTTAACAATGTGCAATTCCTCTCCAGCCAAGGTTTTGCTCTGGCTGCACATATGTATGAACTGAACGACATGAAGGAAATCAGTGGCCGCGGACAAAGGGACAATATGTCCCCACGGTTATTCGATGTCCCCATGTTACATAAACCCCTCCCTCCCCCATCCTACAAATTAACGTCCCCCACATGTCCCCACCCTTCCGCGGCCACTGACCGAGATGCATCAATATGTATACAACAATATTGTTAACCTTCCTGCGCCCGTCGCGAGGAGTGGAGTTGAATACGTGATGAGGAAGAAAGTTTGGATTTATCAGCAACAACGGATCTCGAAAACGGAAGGAATAAAATCTGGATTTATACACGGGTACACGCGGAATATGGGGAAAAATGGGGTGGACGTAAATAATGCAGAATATGCAGCGAAAGCAGAAGGATACGTTCAGATTTGCGATGTACAGAGAACAACCACAAAATCCATTTAAACATTCAAAGAAATCTCGGAGCCTCAATAATTTTACGGGCAAAACAAAGATATTTATTATGCAATTTTATGTACCAAGTAGAGAGAGGAAGATGAGAAATGTGTGTTTTGGGTATTACTTACCATGTCGTGGTAAGTGTTACATGTGGAGAAAGCAGAGTTTTTCATGATAAATGCGGAACCAAAGTTTTATATCTGAGCTTTCTCTTTTCCCCCTCTCAACAGATCTGCTGACGACCGACATTTTTTCCAGGCGGGGATAAATCAGGACAACGATGATGGAAAAAGTCAATTGCGGCTGCCGAGCTGAGTAGACCTTGCCCGATCGAGTCAATACTCTGAATTCGCACAAATTAGACAGAACCAGAGATGAATGGGGTAAGCAAGCATGTGGGAAAAAATTTCATTAAAAAAATGCAAAATTGTGCACAATCGAATTTGCATCGGGGTATGGATTGGATGATAAAATTAAGTACAATTCAAATCCGTAGAGATAATTTACGCTATCTGAAGTTCTTTAGGGCTAAAATTTTTGGTAATTTTCTGCATAAACTTGGCCTGATTTTCTACAGACGATTTGTGCATAATCCTGCACATACCGTTCTGCAAAATAAAACCCACAGAAATTTTCTCCAGGATTACGCAAAAAAATATGCCGAATACAATATGTATCCGATTACTGCATAATTCCACACATCCATTTCTACTAGGGCTTGGCTAAGTTCTTTTCCCAGTTTTTTCTCCACATACATTTATTACCATGCAGGATACATATGTGTTTATGTAATACCATTTCCACTGCATTGAACCGAATGTATCTACATATGCATGCAAATGACAAGGCTGTGCAAAATTGTTGCTGAAAGGATGCATATGTACATACGGGCAATCCGATAAATTGCCCTTAACAGTTGCTGTATCATCACCCACCAACTTAGTTCATTATTCCCCGAAAAGTATTCCGGGTTAGGTTTTGATTTCTTGGTAAGTAAGTAGGTAGCAAACTAAAGTCAAAGACTGTGAATACGAACTCTGCTTCCAAAAAGTGAAAGCAGGCGATCTCACTGCTTCTTCTTTTAAAATCCAAGTTCTTTAACTCTGAGAGAGGAGATTCTCATCCTGGGAATATCCGCACTATTGGCTCTCGCTCTTGTTGATGGGAAACGCGAAGCAAGCCAAGTTGAGTCCAGTCCAAGCAATACAATCGTGTACACTTAGGGCCAAAAGCGAACGAAGCAGTGAGTGCGAAGACCTATAGAGGAATGTAATGAGACAACTTTTAAAGGCTCCAGATTCGATCGATACACCTCCTCTTTCACCACGAGGAGGAGAGGAAACTGATCTTTCCTTTGTGTCAGCGTGGTTGCGGTTCCCTTGTAATTTCCAAGTTCATGAGGCTATAAGGGAAAATTCAAAAATTGTTTTTTTCACCCATTTTCACTTTATTCTAAAGTGAGACATTTACACTCTCTTAGAAAACTGGTGTTAAATCATTACTGAACGGAGTACGTACATATGACTCTAACGAAACTGGTAATAAGGAGCATTACCGTTTAGTAATGTTGCGTTACCGAAAAATTTACAAGGCAGAAACAAACTACTACCAATCTGATAAGGAAATTTTTACCTAATCGATACACTCTTAGAAAACTGGTATAAAATCAGTTCTGACCAGAGTACATACATGTATGACTCTACCTGCACTGGTAATAAGGAGCATTACCATTTAGTAATGTTGTGGTAATGGAAAATTTACCCCTCAGAAACAAACTACTACCCCTTCAGTAGGAAGTTATTACCGCCTCAATACCAGTACCGAGTATATATCCGACTCTACCATATTTTTAACCGTCTACACTTTAAAAAGCTTTCGCTGTATCTTAAATTATGTAAATTGGTTATGTAACGTGCATTATTCTTTACCAAGTGTTAAGTATATCGCATGTTGTTTGGAAGATCGGGCAGGTGAGAAAGTGACCCAAAAGAGAAAACTTGAAAAACTCTTTATGTATGCAAACTAAAGTCGATCGAGTTAAAGTATTCTGACCAGATTTTGCTTTCACCCAGCACCACGTAAGACTTGCGGTAGTTTAGTTTACTAGTTCAACAAACTTTCCCATTGATCGGAAAAGCGTTTATTATGGAATGTCGGTGGGCACAAAGGTTTGAAAAGGTTTCCATTCACTTTTACCACATTTATTTCACAAAGATCCTAATAGTGGATGGATCAATGCCTAAATATGGATGTATGTGTACGCAGAAAAAATGCTGAGGAAAAACTTAGACTTTTAGTTTTTCCATGTTTAGGAAAAAAACTGAATGGAAACTTGAAAAGAAAAGTATCTAAATTAAAACAAGACGAAAGAAGGATTGCTTGCGTGATTCATTCAATCCGTTTTGATACCAAATTTACTGTATGTATAAAAGTACGACAAAAGTTTATACTTACGATGGGGACGCAAACCATGTTCAACCCAGATTTTTTTGACCAGCTCAGTTTGAGAGACCAACTCTTCAGAAGCAACATTAAGTGCGAAGACGTGCAAAATTAGAAGAATTTCTGGCGCCGCAAGTTCGCAAAGCTCTCGATTTTCACCAGAAATTAATCCGCAGTCGCAAGGCAGAGATTCCGCTCGAAGACCAAGATTCTTCGCGTACCTGCGGCGCCCATAACGCTCTTAATTTTTGCGGATCTTTCGCACTAAATGTTTTTCCCTGAAGAGTTCATCTCTCCAACTGAGCTGGTCAGAAAACTAATCTGGGTTGAACATGGTTTGCATCCCTACTGCTAGTTGCGTAATATTTTTTTCGGTATCAAAACATTTTTCACGAGAAACCCGTACACACAAATATTCCACCCTTATCGTCCCCGTCAAATTACAATACGGAACGTGTGTAAAGAATCGGAATGAACAAACTGCGTTTCTTGTTACCCGTATAAGTACATAACGGAACCCGAATCTTTTTCCAGCATAAATAATTCATTATTGAACTCACTACCAAAACAAGGTGGAGATTTCGAAATGAGGCTGAATACAGTGGGAGCAGACAGGGAAAGGTGGACGAGCGACCTAAAAGTACAAAGTCGATCCACTATTTATTTAGTTTCTCTTAAAAAAATTCCAAACTGTGGCCAAATTTAGTCCTGTTTACGTACACACGTTCATTTCAAAACCTCCTACGCTACGTACATAACACCCCAATTTGGTCGGGTCGGATTTGTTTCTGTCCTTTCTACCGGAAGCTGATGCAGTGTGTCCTCGGTCTGCCTGAGGAAGTCTTTTAATTTTGGGTGTGCGTGCGTCGTGTGTGTCCAGTGGCCGCGGAAGCCGGGGGGACATCTGGGGACGTTAACATTGCAGGTTAGGAGAGGGAAGGGTTTGTACAAGATGGGCAGATGATGCCGGGGACATCGAACAACCGTGGGGACATTGTCCCTCTGTCCCCACGTTTCCGCGGCCACTTCTGCGTGTGTGTGGAAGAGGAGGATAGTCCAGTCCAGTCCAGGATTGCGTGGTCACTGAGGCGAAACGATGTGAAAAAGACGGTGTGTTTTTCAAGCCTGTGGTTGGGTTTGAATTGGGCATTATTGTTGGGTGGGTTTATTAAGAGAGAGATAGAAAAGAGAAAGTCCGGTGAAAGTGGAAGGTATTTATTTTAAAAGAACAAGCAGTACTGACTGACGCTACTTTCTTCCTTGGGTCTTTTATACCCAATCCATTTGTTTAGTTCGTACGGAGGTATGTACGTACGTATTTTGTACAAATATATAGTCATCGTGCACTACGCTGTTCTCTCCTCTCTCCCAAATTTAATGTGCATACACAAACCACGTCAAGTCCACTTTGTTTAGAATTGGGTCCGTTGGGAGTCCTGTCCAGCAGGTTTATTTGAAGTTGGCAACAAACAAAACAAACATGCAGTGAATGTGGGAGTACTTGGCCCAAAATGAGCCTGACTTGACAAGACAGCTCGTCCTGTGAGAGAGGAGAAAGCGAAACGAAATTCACATGTACGCGGGCAGTACAAACAATTCATTTATTTATATTTCTCTAAATGTATGACTGCGAGTGGAAACGATTCAAAATTTGAAGCCTTCCTTGTAAAGGAAAATTTTGAAGGGGAACGTGTCCATAATAAGTAGAGGGTGGATATGTATTTACGAAGAAGAGGTGAAATATGTATTTAATATTAGTGAAAGAAACTCCAAAATATTTACGAAATATGTACAAAAACATACAAATTTCGTAATTTTTTTATTTCTGAATTTAGAATAAACGTTCTATATTTTTTTTGTTCGAATTTCTTTGAGAAACAAAAAATTTGCATAGTTGAAATATTTACAAAATATACCTGTATTTTAAAAAAAAATATCTAAAATATTTACAAAATATGCATGTATTTTTAAAAAGTATCCAAAATATTTGTTAAAATATACATGTATTTTTTAATGTATAAAATATTTACTTATTTTTCAAATAATGGCGAAAATATTTATAAGAAATTTATATATTTATCTGAAAACCTAGAAATATGTGACAATACATAAAAATATTTCGAACTTTTTCTGCTCTATTCTAGTTAGTTAACACACCCACAAAGCTCGACCGTCCATCGTCACCAAATCAAACCCTTGAAACTAAATACATATCCACCCTCTGATATAATAATAAGAACGAAATGGTGATAGTTTTTTCCTCTCGTGCAGAACATTTTTTTCTGCTCGTGACGTTTCTGCATGGAGGTCTAGTTTGCATAAAATGTAACAAAAGAAGGAAATGGGGTGGTGTTGTGTAGCTCAGGGAGTGGTTCTGGTGGTGGTGCTGGTAGTGCTATGCGGGCAACAGGAAAGAGGAAACTATTCATCGAGAATAAAGACTTGGTTGGTATGCATGTGAGTGAAAAGAGTTGTGAAGAAAGTCTGGGTAAGCAGGTCTTTAGGAAGTACTTGGAATCATCATCATGTCGACTTCCATTTGGGCCAGGCAGAGATGAAAGTGTGTATTTTTACGATGTGTAATAATAGACGAGAAATGTGAAGCTGGGACAGAAACACATTTGTTTATTGTGATTGAAGACAAAGTATGAATCGAATTTCATAGGAAATCGAAAATGCGAAATTTTTTGTAGATACATACTTTCCCCAGATGAAAAATGGAATTGAAAAGGGATGACTTGATTGAAGATTTTCTGAGGAGGTGCATGCATGCCGGAGAAAGTACGTTGTGAGATGAATAGTATTTACGACTATTTGTATATTGAAGTAAACATGTGTACAAACCATTTCCTGATAAATACTTCTCAGAAATATTGACAATTTTTTAATTAAAAAAATAACGGGGGAGTACACTGTTAAAAATCTGGTAGAGTCAGATATA